TCTCTTACAAATACGACCCCCTCCCCCTCCCCAGAGCAAAAGTACGACCCCCCCCCCCCATGGGTTTGACACAACGATACTGTACCCTGTCTGTGGTGGACAAGACCACCTTGCTCAAGCATGGCGCTGCACACTAAATCAACATGGGACGTGCCTCTAAGTAGTCAATATGAACTTGTAGTTTGATGAGAATACTCAGTTGTTTTAGTTGCTTATTTGTAGTCTTTAGGAAATGTTTGGCTACAGTCCTGCCGGTGCATTCCCTCGACGCTCTTATGAAGAAAGGCTAGCACCACCGTCAGCTGCTCAAGGTACCTCTCGTCCGAGTTATACAGCAGGCGCACGACTTGATCAATCACGGTATTCTTCATATTACCGTTTGTTACCTTACTGTGAACATTGAATCTTTTTCATCACATAAAACCAGTTTCACTTAAGCAAGACTGGGTGCTCCTAAGGCGCAGCCTCGTCAGACATTTTTTCTATGCATCGCCACGTAATAAATGAGTATGAGAGTACTTTGCAATTTTGCTCGGTTTAACCTTCCCCCACCCTTTTTTTCTTTTCATTTGAATGAGTGTTTCCCGTAGTTTCTCGAAATCGGGAAATGAGTATTCAAGTGGGTACAAAACTTCATGATATTGCAACACCTGTGCAATTACGTAAGGCCCTTTACAAATAAAAAATCCCTCACCTTGGTTTAAGCTGCATTTTCCACCAGCTGCAACTGAAACTGAATATCAAATTCCACATCGGCCCGAGCTTAAGCTGAATAGTAATTCTTAAATTGCATTGTTACTTCAGATTTGTTATGGGTCCGATGTCTTGTAATTGTTTCCTGTTTGTTCTTAGATCGGTAGGCCGAGCAGCTTCAAATCAGATGGCGACTGGATTAGACGCACTGAATCTCAGCCAGAAGGATCCAGAAGTGCTTAGTGGTATGTTCTTATACAGTTCAAGAACTGTTATACTTTGCCTCGCTGATGCAGCGCAGGTGCGCGGTCCTGTGTTATCTGTTGAGAGATACATGACGTGTCACTGACATCACGTCAGTGACAAGTCGTGTCATTGACGTCTGACTACACGTTAAGGCCAAGTTTTGGAACGTCATAGACAATGGTCCCCTGTTACTGACACGTCATTGATGTGTCAGAAGAGCCGTCGTCTTCTAACCCTCAACGAGTAACGGGCCCGTGCTGTAATTGCACCTACAACCGTTTTCGCTGCAGATACTGGAGTGTGCCAGGGGAGGGGGTGTGGTTCGGTTAGACTCGGTGCTAGCAGTTTCCCACAAATTGTTTTCGCTTGCCTGCTTCATCAGTTGGTGAAGAACGGCTTGGCGCCCGCCAAACCTAATATCCCTTACGCGCCTCAGCGTCTGCAACGAAAAGATTGTACTTTGTTCTTCAACGGTTTCAAAGCAGGAAGTGAAAGGATTAGATTTTTTTTTATTTCAGCTGCTTGGAATGCCTTTTTGCAAACGCTGAACAACGGTCCTGCTGCCCAGCACATAGCCACGCAGGACATGCCAGCAGTGGTAATCATGGGTGGAGTTTAAATCAGTCACCTGTTATATTTTCTGAACTGTTCTTTGTTTATTCCTTACAGTATGTGTTTATTCGTGACGTTAACCTCCATTTTTATGCCAAAAAAGCAATAAGTTTGTGTTTCTTTCAATGTAGGTCCTAATAAATCTGCCGGGAGATTTATATTGAAGACTATCACACTATGGGAAACATTTAAGACACGTCTTCGACTATCATTCAATGTTCATCATCGTTTAGGATTTCGAGCGAGTACCCTATTTCGGAAAAGTTTTCCAACACCTCCGTAACGAACCTCAGTTCTAGCTTACAGTTTTGGTAGTGGTTCAGAGGCACAAGGCTCTACGATAATTTGACGTGGCTCGGGGGCTAGAAATTGGTTAGCAGTGGATGCTAATAGCAAGGAAAATGGCGGAAAGAAGGAGGTGAAACGGCTCCAAAAACAGTTACAGACAGGCCGTTGCTGTTCTATTCATGACTCAAAGCAATTTTTCGGACGAAGGTTCATCTTCGGTTCATCGTGGCCAATACCTGAAAACAATACGAGGGCTATCACTATCGGATCGCACATTTGTGGGCGGGAAGGGCGCGCGAAGTGCGGATGTCGGTATATGCTGCGCGCTTTGGAATAAAGTGGACGCGTTACGAATCGCCTGCTCAGTAGCACGAATTCTGTCTTGTGAGGGCGTTAATCAATCCTGCACGTGGTTTTGGATTTGCCAAGGGATGGACCATTTGTGAGAACGTCATGAGATGCCGCACACAGTCATTACTCAGCATCCCCTCTGCAGCTGATGGAACGAGTCTTCGAAAGTTGGTGGTGTAGTGTCGCGCACGGTCGCGCTCAGTGGGCGCGCCCTATGCATGTGCACATTCTAGCAGGTCCGAATCCGATCTTTCAAAAGACCGTAGACTAGATCAGTCCTTGCCAAGAAGGAGCATTCCTTGGTATAATAGAAATAGTTTTCAGCTGCTTCTGCAATGCGAGGACCGAGAGTAAAAGCAAACATGTGGGGTCAAGAACTGTTATTTGTACCGACCCGTCGCTCCATTATAACAAACTAATATCTATAAAGCAGCCAACTTTGTGTGTCGGTTTGTATGTTGTAGATATGTGTACGATGTATGTATGTATGTATGTGTCCGTCCGCAAAATGCTTCACGGGTTCGAGTTCGCTGGAGGCGAAAACGACCGCTAGGCAAACAGGCAAATCGGTGCGGAAGTATCAATCCAATGTTTTGATCGTGATATCGGCCTCCGCTATATAAAGAAACCAATTCGGCTACACTCGAGCCAGTTGCACGAGCTGGCTGGCGTCGGCGAACTTGGACCGTGTGCTCGTGCGGGGGCAGGGTGGGGGTACCGGGTCGCCCTGCCTCCCTTTCCTGCACACGTGCTCAGCCGGAGCTGAGCACGTGTATGGGAGGGAGGCAGAGGGGAGTGGCCCCGAAGGGGGTGCAGGGGAGGGGTGCGTAGCGCGCGCTTGAGTAGAAACGCGCAGCAAAGGAGGAGGGAACAACCGATAAGAAAACCGCAGGCTAATCCATGTTACCGTTACGCATTGAAAAGTTGTTTTGGTCGGTTTTCCACTATATAAGAGGACCACCACACTCCGAGCCATTGCACGGGTTTGTCGTGTGGTAGTTGTAGTGAGCGCGCGCAAAGGGCAAGATGGGGAGGGGAGTGGCGAGTATGGAAAGGGATGAGGTGAGGAAGGTGGAGTGAGTACCGAGTGACCTCTTCTCCTGTTCTCCTCCCTTGCGTGTGCTCAGTCGGATTTGAGCCCATACAGGGGAGGGAGGCAGAGGGATTGGATCGGGCAAACTGGGTACAGCGATGTAAGTGGGATGCGTAGCTACACCTTGGATTAGCAGGAGGCGGCAAGAATAGAGAAAGAAACCGCTAGCAAAACTGCAAGCTAATCCATGTTACAGCAACGAACTAGGAAGCGGTTTGAATTGTGAATCGCTCCCCTATCTAAGCCAACCACTGTGATAGTCTGTGCTATTGCAGGAGCTGCTCAGATCTGGACCGTGTAGCCGACAAGGCCGCAGGTTAAGTAACAGTGGCGGACGTAGTGTATGTTGCACCAGCTGCTCACGTGACGGCTGCATACCACGTGCGGGAGTGGGCGCCAGTTAAGTTAGGGTCAGTGGGATATGATGTGGTGAGGGGGATACCAGATGAGAACGGCGATTTCGCGAATAGGAGCACATAGCGCCTGCGGCGGTAAGGCGTCTACGGTTGCGATAAGATGAGAAGAAAATGGATCGACCGCAATCGGAACTGAACCGATTAATGTTGCATTATCAAATTGTTGATGGTAGTCGTTTTGATTAATCATATACAATCCTCCACAACATAAACACAACCCATTTAGTGCATCAGAACCATTGCACGGGCTATTCGCGTAGCAGCTGAGCGTGACCTGTAGGGTGGCTGAGCGGGGAATAGCTGAGGTTAGTTTGGGGATAGGTGAGGTGGAGGGGTACCATATTGGCGCGACCGACGCTCGCCTGAACAGGAGCACGCAGCGACTGCGGAGACCGAAGCATCCTTTGCTGTCATAAGATGGGGAGGAGAGTAATCGATTATCCATGACCAGATTTTGAACTTTTCATTATGAAAGTGCCCTGCGATCATGTGGTGCGTTTCTACATTCATTTGATTAGAAGACAGCGGTTAGTCGAGCGGACTTAAAGCAGTGTGCATGAGCCCGTCGAAGCCGGCTTCGCAAGATAGGAGGAGAGGCTCGCGTTAGCCGGGCGATCCGATCTGGTAAATGAGTTTTCAGCTGCTTCTGCAATGCGAGGACCGAGAGTAAAAGCAAAAATGTGGGGTCAAGAACTGTTATTTGTACCGACCCGTCGCTCCATTTTAACAAACTATAAAATGACAACAATCAAGAAATAGAAGGAGAGGGAGCGCAGTAGTTTCTTCGTAAAGAAGAAAATTGTCTATCTAATAAACTCGAAAACTTAAGAAAATCCTCACTTTTCACCAAAATTTTTGTATGTGTGGAAAAACGCCATTAATTATGGGCGAACCTAATACTGTACACACTCTAGGTGAATTTGTAAAGGTAACTGGAGAAGTAAAAGTGAGAAGCGTGAATCTCATGGACCCCCGCAGTAATTACCTACTTTCTTTTAGTTGTGAGTTAACGAAGTTATGTTCTTCTAAAGGGCGACATTTTGCTCACAGGCGATACATCCACGCCGGGAAAAATCCTCGAGGGCGGATTTTCTTAATAGTGGATCTCTGCCAATGGTTTAGCAACTACATACTAGAAAAAGTGTCTTTTTTTTCTAGCACCGGTTAATCCTCTGGATCCACTCCTCCACTGCCGACGTTATGGCTAATGGAAGGGTGGAATCTAACGTGATTAAGGGACTTTCATCGTTAATTTCGACGCAAAGCCGTGAGATTTCTTTCGTGAATAGTTCAGTACCTGTCAAGTGGAAGCTCCCAAGATCACGAACTGCGCTTACCGCTTTGTAAAATCTTATTTCTGGAGGAAGTTACAAACCTATGGAAAAGCATCAAGGTAATGGTAAGTAAAATAGCGGCTGGCACTGCCATTTTCATCTGAATGCTATCATGTTCCTTGAGAATCCAAACTGAAG